TGGAGTTATAAGAGGCAGACAACTACACACACACCACGTGTATGCTATTGCTATTTATTGTGGTTTAACCTGTCAAGGACAAAAATGCACAGAAAATTCTGCATCAAGCCTTGAAATCATAGCTTTCCTGCTTTTTTTTAAAGCAGCAGGTGCACGGTGGTTACGCTGTTGGCTCACAGGAAGAAGAGCCTGGGATCAAATCCACAATCTGGCTAGTTTGCACTGGTTTCTCTCTGGGTATTCTGGTTTCCTCCCACAGTTAAAAGTCATGCAGTCGTTAGAATTAGGGTTAGGTTAATTGGATTCTAAATTACCTGTATAAGTGCAAATGGTTGTTTGTCTCTATGTGATAGACTGCTAAGCTGTCCAGGATGTACCCTGCCTCTTACCCTATCACTTCTGGGTTATGCCCCAGCCCCTCCTGCAACCCAGATAAAGATAGAAGGATGGTAGTCGTTCAATAGATCCATTCATGTTAACCACACTCTAAACTTTGTTGAACTTTATGTAATATGAAGACAACATGTAGTATTTAAGTGACCAAGTAGTACTGGGCTAAAAGTTATTGAATAGTGTTGAGATAAAATGTCAAAATTGCGAAGGATTAAAATATTCCAAGAGCTCACCTTACTTCATCTAAACAGGTTTCAATTGCGTTTTATCAACACAAAATGCACAGGTTTACTGAATATGAATAAGTTGTGTTGATTTAACTCAGTTGTTTAAGTTTCTGCCAAAGCAAAACAGTTGTGTGCAACCAATGTCCACTATCGAATTAAGTAAATCCAACATGGATTTTTTCAGTGTACCAATGAATGATGAATAGTAGCTTATACCCCTGTTACAGTCAGAAAGCTTACTGTCCACACAGTGGGAAACAGTCTTTCATCATGTATCATTAAAAATCTGTAATCTGTCACCGAATCCAGTTCCCAACAGGTGCACAATACCTGAAAATAGCAGCCACAGACAAGATAAGGACACTATTGGTACTTCTGACTTGCCGTACTAATAAAAACAGCATTGTGTCTGAGCACGCCATGTTGGATTAAACAATCGAAGGAGCTTGAACGTAAAGCAGGCACATGAAATTGATCCATCACTTATGTTAAGATGTCTGAAGCAGGCACGGTGAGGTACCAGGCTATTTTAGTTTTGTTTCCCCTGTTAGATCTCAATTGTTAAAAAAGGGGAGCTGCTGGAAATACCTGTATATTATCAATGTCCACTGTCTGTGAATATGACATATAAACAAATCTATGTTCATCTCAACTCACTGCAAAAATATACTGGGTACCAACCTTGAGCAAAACACGGATAACCAATTTGTTGGGTAATTTGTGTCCGTTCAGTGATCTATGTTCTCCAGCTTGTTACTTCCACAGCGTTTGTTTACAATCCACTGACCCCTGAGCCCACAGCAAGGCAAAGCACAAGGTCAGCTAGCATTCCACCCACTGTAAGAGAGAAACACCCACAGTTCCCCCACATATATGAGCCGACATGGATCTTTGTGGCTCTGCTGATTAAGTGATGTGAGAGAACAGAGGTAAGGCCTGATACAGGAACCCTTCCAAAAGGACGCAGAGTTCTCAGGTCCCAGCAAAGCAACATCTTTTTTCTGTGTCTCTCAGGTAATGACAGAGATAGCATTGGGGTAGATTAAGAGGTAGATTAAACTGTCACTGTCAGGAACACAGGAAATCAAGGCAGTTAGCACATGTTAGACAGTTTTTATGGAGTAGCCATCTTCTGCGCTCTGTGTCAGTCCTTTCAGTTTTTCTGCTGTTTGGCACGAAAGGTTAAAAACAAATGCACTGATTTGGAAGAAAAGCAGTATCCTATTTCATTCTGTTTTCATTTTAGAGGTAAAAGTGGATTCACATTACAGGCAGAACCAAGCAACAATCTACAAGGCTAATAAACTGCAGTTCTTCAAATAACCACTCGAAGCCGACTCCAAAAACGAGTCAACCCCCTTCGATTCTTATGTTAAAAACACTCAACTTAACAGCAAAAATAAGCTACACGGTACAAAAAACTAGTCTTATTAAAGATACAAATAAGAAGACCAAATGTTCGTGTATGCCTCTCGTCCAAATATGGCCCCTTGTTGGCTCCAACAGAAACAAGATGGCAACAGCCAAAATGCTAAAATTAAGACTTCAGAAAGGGACATTGTATACCAGTGCTTGTGCCTTAATAATTATATCCATCCTTATATAAAGTCTGTTGGCAGAACATCAAGTGTATTCCTTCATTCTAATGTAACAGTTTTCTATCCCAGTGGTGGACGAAATATATAATTTAACTGCAATGTAAGCTGATCAAAAATGGTTCAAGATTTTCCTGTTTTAACTGTCTCGCTTTATGTTCTACCTCCAGCTTGTGTAAAGCAGCTCACGATTAAAAATGAACAAAAACATTGCAGTGGCAGGTCCTGAGACATGTCCAGGCTAATCCTTTAACTGCCTCAGTGCTGTTTTTAAAACA